AGGTGCAAGAACTGTTAGCAAGATATGGTGTGGCAGCCAACTACACCACGGCCGCGCACCCCCAGGCAAATGCTCCCGTAGAGAGAGGACACAGTACCATTACGAACCTCATGGCCAAATGGACCGAAGGTAAGCCTAATCAATGGCCAAGATACCTAAGGGCGACTTTCTTTGTCGAGAACATTACAGTAAAGAGATCCACCAAGTACGCACCTGCGACGCTGTGGTACGGAAGGCATGCCACCTTCCCTATCGAAAGCTTTCTTAAGACGTGGAGGCGCCGGGATCTAGAAGTCAACCTGTTATTTGAAGAGTTGCTCGATATTCGGGCGCGGCAAGTCGGGGCGATAGAAGAAACGATCCAGGAGGCATCTGATCAGGTGGCGAGAAGCCGTATGGATGATAAGGCCCGATGGGATCAGTCTGCGCGAGTGAGGAAAGTACCCTTGGCAGTCGGGGATGTCGTGCTTCTCTACGATACGTCGCTGGAGAAGCAGTGGTCCAGGAAGCTCGATAAGAGATGGTTAGGTATCTACCGAATTGCACAGGTCGGAGACTTCGGAGCGTACCAGATCGAGGAGTTAAATGGGACTGAGTGGAAGGATTGGGTATCTGGAGCGCGACTGAAGAAATTCGTGGCGAGGGAAGAGGTAAGAGAGATGACCTGACCGCCCCTAGAATAGAAGTAACAGGGTGTGTAGGTTAGGAAGGRTGCATGCTGCATAAGTGTGGTATGGTCTGAGCTTGCTCTGATTATCACCTGCTTGCTTACCCCAACGTGTGGCTGTTGTCTCCTTCGCCTGTTGTGCAGGTCTGACTTTACGAAGACAGCCATGCCAAGAGGAGGGAAGGGGACGCGGCCGCCTCAGAGGCCGTTGGGCGCATCAGGAGGATATGAGCGGCATGGGCCTCGCTAACGAGAGAATACTCCAGTCTACAATGATGGGGACATCAAGCTATTCTTGGACAGTTTCTGGGAGCATGCGAGGCGTATGGGCTGGACAGTCACTCAGGCGATTAAGAGATTGAGGGGAGCAGGTAGGTTCGAAGAGCCCATTGCCAGGATTCGTAGGGAGGCGACGACGAGGCAGGAGGTGGAGATAAGGATGGAGGAGTTGCGACCCTCGCCTGTGGGACCTGATGGCAGGCCGATCCGCCTGGAGATTGGAAATGCGTCGGACTTCATCCCCGCGTTTGAGTGGTTCATGTAAGAGCAAGGCATACAGAGAGATGATTAGATGCAGACACTACCACTCTGGACCAGGAAGGCGGAAAGGCCACTGGCTATGCAGATCAGGGACATGGCACGAAATTGGGAAAGTTGCAGGGCACATTTGAGAGAGGCCTTTCGACGGCCAGAGCTCCCTCAGCCCAGAGTTGAGAGGCGGCAGAGGAGTCAGAGGCCGAGGGACCCTGAGCCCAGGGAGGCGAGACCATCTCAAGGAGGACGGAAGGCCCTAGCCAGGAGAGAGCAGGAGCCAGAGGATGAGGAGCGAGGGGCATACCCTGAGTGTGGGTTGGGGTCAGTGGAGTTCCATCGTTTTACTGAGGGTGGATTGAGGAAGTCGTCAGCACACACACAGGGGGAGCCACCAGCGTCAGAGGGGCCCTTGAGGGAATTGGAGATGCATTTAGATATTTCTCGGTGGAGGGCGTCGCTTCAGGGTGAAGGGCATGGAGAGCAGGCAAAGGAGGTGCCGCGAGAGGAGGTGCCACAGGAAGAGGTCCGGGGTACTGAGCGAGAGAGAGGGCTGGGCGATGAGGGGAGACGTGCAGGGAAAGAAGTGATAGAGGTTGAAGAGGACACGCCCCCACAGACGCCAGCAGTAGGTTTGAGACTCGAGGATGCACCAGGGAGCACCCGGCCGATAAATGAGGGGTTGCAGAGAAAGGAGACCCCTTTACCTTCGTCAGAAAAGACTCCTTCGCCAGAAGAGAGGGCAGCTGTAAGGAGAGAAACTTTTATCGTGATTGATAGGCACCTAGCAGCTCATGCCCTGGAGCACCCAGACCTGGAGGAGCCAACACCTGCAGAGCCACGCCAGGAGTCAGGTCAGCCCGAGAAGGAAATGGAAGCAGAAATCCCAAAGAGGGTCGACCTCCGCACGAGGGAAAGGGTGCCAGCTGGAAAGACGGCTGAAGAAAAGAGGGCAAGACGAACCAGGCGGATAGATGAGATATGGCAGGAGAGGCAGAGGTTGGAGGCAGCAGGGGAGCTCCCGGAGCAGCAGCAAGAGAGGCAGAGATCGGAGGCAGCAGGAGCACTCCCGGGTCAGCCGCCCAGCGCACCAGCTAGGGCCCCAGAGATTCCTGAGATATGGAGGGACTTCTGAGAGCAGAGAGGAGAGGAGCTTCCATCGCCAGTCAGAGCCGGGTTTGGGGTGGCCAGGAAGGCGGAAGAAAGGTTAGATCGTAAAATCAAGTTCCTGGCCAAGACCACTTTTGACCGACACTTGTTATTAGAGGGCGATCTGGCGGGGAAGAAAATGAAGGAAGCCAGCCATGGAGTACGTCTGGAGGCTATGGAGATGGAAATTCAGGAACTTAGGGCTTTGGTGGCCAGCCAGGCAGCTATTATTGAGAGCCTGAGGCAGCAAACCCAGGGAAAGGYGGACAGACCAGAGAGCAGCCGACAGGGAGAGCAGAGGCAGCCAGGACAGGGATTGCCAGGACAGCCATCTGCGACAGAGCCTCGCCAGGAGCCGCCTATGGGGAGAGTTATCCTGGAGCCAGAGGAGGCGAGAGCCCAGAGACAGGCAGAGAGAGAGGCGTTCGAGTTTAGAGCCCCTACTGAGCTCGCGACGCTGCCGGTGGCGGCGGCAGGCCCGATTGTACCTTTGGCAGTAGAGGAGGGGTTGCCACCATCTAGCAGTGAGCCGGCTCAGGGCTCGGCAGAGGGATCCATGGGCGTGCTCCTTGAGACGGTGCATACTATGCGGGAGGAAGTGAGTTTGTTTTCACCAAAGCAGAGGATAGAGGAGCCTCTTGAGAGAGAGATGGGGATTGAGGAGGAGGGTGCCATCGAGGGCAGACTCCAGAGGATAGGCACACCTGAGTATGGACCAGAGGAGATTGAGGAGCAGCCCACGGAAGTGCCAGGGGCGACACTCGAGAGGAGGCCTCAGAGGTTAGACACGCCCGAGTACGTCCCAGCGACAGAGGATTTGAGAGGCAGGCTAGGATCTTGGGCTACTGGATCTGGGTCTGGTGGACCGGTTCTTGGGATAGAGCAGCAGGAGGTCGCTAGTACCGCAGCTCCTCAAGCAGAGCAGCAGGGGGTTGTCAGTACCTTGGTGGGATCTCCTTCATCGCCACCTCCTCAGCCCAGGAAGAGGAAGTTCAAGAGAAAGGTAGATCAGCTATGTTTTTACTGCAAAAGGGACGTGCATCTGACTTTGGACTGTCTCGAGTTTCTTGAGGATAAGGCAGCAGGGAAGATCTCAGAGGTAGGGGGTAAAATGTATGATAGACAGGGTAGGATAGTAGAGAAGTCCGCAGATGGACTTAGGGCTCAGTTATATAGGCAAAACCAGGAGGAGTTGAGGAGGTAGGGCTCGGTTTTGTCTATATAARTGAGCGAGCATTTTGTGAGGTATCAACTTAGGTTCTATGTGATACCCTTTTTAACTTAGAAGACATTTTGATGATTACTGTTAATCTAGATCTGAACTCTAGTGTTTCTACTAAGTTGAGGTTTTGAGGGTCAGGGTGGTTTAGATGAGGCATGTACATATTTAGGTGGCCTACGCCGTGGCCTTTGAGAGACAGATCTGACATGTATTTTAGGAGTAGTTGTCAGTGTGGGTTTGGTGTGGCTTGAGTTGAGCAAGCTATGATTTGGAGACACTTTCTGTGTGAGACATTGTACTCCCTGAGTGTATATTATGATGAGGTTTCCTTCAGGGACCATTCTTATATGTGACGATCACTTGTCTTTCTCACATGTGTGGTTGTACTCTGATGTATGATGAGTTTGTGTGGACAATGTGTGAAAAACCTTTTATGTATCTTGGGTATTGTGAATATGATTGTAAGTAAAACTGTCTACTCCTCAGTATACTTGTGCGACCTGCCCACGGCAGCTGATAAGGCAGAGTATAAGAGGAGGAAGCGCAGTYCATCTGTGAAAGTTATCTAAGTTGTGATGAGGACCCATAAGATGGTCTCTCAGTGATGTTCTGTTTTATGATGGGACCCCCTTAGATTTTGGAAAAGAGGGGGTGTTTTGTTTATGATGAGACCCTCGTAATTTCTGGAAGAGGGAATGTATTGTTTTATGGCGAGACCCCTCGCGATTTTTGGAAGAGGGGGTGTTTTGGTTATGAAGAGAGCCCCTTTTGGATTGTTGGAAAAGGGGAGTGGTTTTTGGTTGAAAGACTCATCCTCAGAAGTGAGTAAATTGATTTATGGCATGATGAGTTGTTCGATGGGTGATAAAGTCTGACGGAAAGGGGCCACTTTCTGTTTGAAATGTTTGAGAAAGTCGCAATGAATACAGGGCGAGAGATGTCTCAGGGTGGGTGGTTGCTGGCTCTGATCAAGTCAGGGGTCACGGCCTGGTGGATTTAGCGGTGATTTTGCTTGTAAGCGTGCGAAGGATCATATTTTGTCTGGCTACACCCCTCTCCTCAGGAATGTTTTGCTCAGTTCCTGTGTTGATTCAGGTATAGAGTATGAAGTAAGAAATGAACACAGGGAAATGTGTGATGGTTAACAGGATATTAAGAGGTAGGCTCTAGAGTTAGGCCCTGCTTTCCTAGATTGCCTTTCCTCTTCCTTTTTTTGTCTGAGCGTAACAGCAGAGTTTTTTGAGAGAGTGTTTTGATGAAGAGTGAGTTGCGGGACGTTGGACCCGGTGTCCAGTCTTTGAGCCGACCTGGGTAATGGCCCCAGTCTCCGGGTAGAATTGTGAGGTCCCCGGCCTCAACCTCTTTTCATGATAATAAATGAGTACTATTTTCTCAAAAAAAAGAAAAAAAGAAAAAAACAAAGAAAAAAAGAAAAACCCCTGATGTCGTTTGGGCCTGAAAAAGTCTTCAACATACCCCTATTGGTACCGGTTCCAAATTTCCAGTATGCCCCGGTAGCTCCCGTCCCCGAGTCAGGGGAACGATCACATGTGCCACCAACGGCCACAGGGGCATGCTAAAAAGTTGCTACCCTCACAGAGAGGGGCCTGCAGGAACGTTCAGAGAGGCGGGGTAAGTCGGCCGTCGGAGGGGCACGGTGCAAATTCATTGAACTTTCTGGGGCATATCGAAAATTTTCCCAAAACAAACCCATCGCGGACTCGCACCATAATCACAGCAGGACGTCACTTGATGTATCCGACGCGTTTTACGGTCTGGCCTGGATGCACATGACAGCAGTGACTCCCCCAGATATATATATATCGTCAAATATATTTTTAATTAATCATCCTTGCGCAGGGGCCATGCTAATCTTCTCTGTATCGTTCCAATGTTAACGGATGTCCCGAAGGACCCCCAGATAATTTCAAAAAGTCCTAGTGTGAGTATGCCCTGAAAAAGACAAAAGATATGCCGAGTGTATCTTTTACACCACCTACCGGTAGCTGAAGATACGCTTCCTCGTGTGAGTATGCTCTGAAAAAGACAAAAGATATGCCGAGGATATCTTTTACACCTCCTAGCTGACGATACGCTTGCCCTCCTACGTAGCTCCGACGTTGCATTTCCCGCCAAAAAGAATAAAAATCAGCGGTGGCTTTTTTGCCGCCACGCGGTGACGGCGTCGTCACAATATATTGAATTTACGGATCTTGTCGTTGATTGTGATTGATTGCAGTTGTTGTCGCGAGGGCGACAACTTGGTGGATACGTCACGCATGCATTTTGGCAGTAACCAGGGTCACATACGTTCCAGAGCGCCTGAAGGAAAAGAGAAACGGCTCCTGGATGGACCGAATCTGGTGGCGGGAACTGCAAAAGGCCAAAAATTATAGGAATGCACTTTGACAGTGCAAGTGTGAGTATGCGCGGGAAAGTCTAGAGGAAGAGAGGCGAAGGCTTCGGTAACAAGCGACTACTATGCTATAGCTCAAAAAAAAAAAAAAGAAAAAAAAAGGAAAAAAAGAAAAGGGTTACTGTCAGAGTTTTGAATCTTATCCCTCCCTCTCCACGTGGACGCGCCTCGGTAAGGAAAAATCCGTTTGCTTGCTGACGTGGCATTTTACCGATGGCGGCATCGGCGGCGGCGGCGATGAGCGGGAGCTCGATCTATCGAATCTTCGGCGACTGTTCCTGCATGACGTCGGGATCGGGACCGGGACTGCCGGGTCCACGTGGCGGCGGCAAGAGCCTCGTGGGGTTGTACGGTCAGCAACGTGATGGAGGGGCCTTCCTCCTCCGCAGGCTCAGGCTGCGCAAGCAACTGGACGGGGCGGCCATAGCCGTTGATGAGGAGAAGTTGAGGAGATCGGTGAAGAAGAAGACGAAGACAAACATGGAGAAGAAGAGGAGCGTGAAGACGAAGCTTCGCCCACGGCCTATGCACGACGACGAGCAATCGGCCGCCATAGCTGAGGGCCGAAGCTTGTCGTCGTCGTCTGATCGTTGTACACTTGTACAAGCTGCTGCTGGTAATCAAAGGAAGAACCGATATCCCCGACCGGGTAAATCGGATGGCTCTAATTTCTCTGTCGGCAGTGATGGATGGTTGGAAGGCTACGATGGCGAAGCATACAGAAATTCTCATTTAGCGACGGATCACAAAAGTGGTGAGTTAAAAAAAAAAAAAGGAAAAAGAAAAAAAAAAGAAAGTGAGGAGTTTCATTCTTTCGCAGACATACACTCACACTAACAACATAAGATAAGATATTACCTCGAAAAACTTGTATATATTTGTCACAGCCCCTCGTTTGTTGTCCTCTTCTCCCTCTTGTCCCTCTCTGCCACCTACGGTTTACCGTAGGCAGCTCTGTTTGACGATATACTTTATATAATATAATATAATATAATATAATATAATATAATATAATATTTTTTAAAATCTATGTATTGTCATAAAGAATTGCCATGTAGGCGAGGAGGGAGAAGACAACAAACGAGAGGCTCTGGCCGACAGACTGTTTCGTCGGAGTTTCACTGGCTCATCAGAAGGCTGTCGTCTCTCTCTCTAATATAAGGGCATACTAACACTCTTCGGGATGCATCTGGTCGTAATTACAGTAAGTGTAAATTCAGTCTGGAAAGTTCAGTGTGTGAAGAATCTGAAGATGACGCCCCGTGGTTTCGATGATTACTAGTTGGAACGGTAATTAGTGAAATCAGCGATCGAAATTTAGGGCATCCTCCCACTCTCGAGGTTTTTCGGACTGAATTTGGACGGCATTATGGTGGAGATTCGGATCCCTCCCCTTTGCAATGCGGAGTCTAATTCGAAAATCGTTATACTAGTAATATTAGTGCTCAAAGTTTTTTTGATTGTTTTGCAGGGTATCCTCACACTTGAATTTTTTTTTTTTTTTGGGGGGGGGGACTGAATTTGGACGTAATTATGGTAGAGATTCGTCTGCGCATTTGAATGGAGTATGTCAACTAAGCCGTTGCGCGTGCTTGCTTGCTTGCGCTGGGTGGATAAGATTCGATATGCGCCCACCTGTTGCTAATACATTCCGATGCGCATCCGAATCTCTAGCATAAGTTCGTCCAAATTCAGATGGGCGTATATTGATTGGTCGTAGAAGAAGGAAGAAGAAAGTAAGCAATGGCCAATATCGGTCTTCGCACGCAATATAAAGTACTTCATTTAAAAAAAAAAAAAAAAACAAGTACTTCATTTCTTACCAGCGTGTACACTGCTCAAACGCGCATGCGTTCCTCTAAACATTTTTCAACCGGTTTCACTCCGGACTCATGATGAGGCTGCAGNCGGAGGCACACTTCGAAAATCTTAACGGGATCGAAGAGAAGGTACATAATTTCCTTTCTTTTTTTTTTTTTTTTTTTTTTTTTTTTTTTGAAAGGGTCGGTGGCCTTGAGACATCGTCATTGAGCTTACCGGCCCCACGCAATTCAGAAATACAAGTATTTGGTTTTTTAAGTCATCAATCAAGTTCCATCATCATCTGGATTCGAACTGGGGTCTGTATTTCAACAGTTCAGGGGTGTGTACCCACTGAGCTAGGCTTTTTTTTTTTTTTTTTTTTTTTTTTTTTTTTTTTTTTTTTTTTTTTTTTTTTTTTTTTTTTCTTCGTCTGTTGAGAAATTAGGTCCAATAATAAGTAATCGAAGCAGGGGATGCACTAATCGCATGGTTGATGAGACTAGGTAGCAGGAAGTGAAATTTACTGGTAGAAAAAATATGTTAAGTAATTCATAATCAGGAAGTCGATTGAAAGAGAGAAGTTAAGGATAAGATAAGGGATAAAAAGTGCAAAAAAATAAAATAAAAAGAAGGATGGAAAGTAATACAAATGGAGGATCAGGATCGCAAGTAGAAAGGATTAAAGGATGAGGAGGAAAACAGGAGGAGGTGGAGAAAGAAGAGAGGAGGAAGAGGAGGGGGGGGGGAGGGGAGGGAGGAGGAGGACAAGGAGGTAGTAGGAGGAGATCATGAAAAGGCGGGAAATGACGTGGCTCGTTATCTGTCTGGCTTTATGAGACGGCTTAAATCGTCTACCACGTGAAGTCTCGGGGATTGGGCGGAAATTATACCGCGTTTTTTGTTGTTTTTTTTTCCTTATGTTCAGAGAAAGGAAGAGAAAATTAATCAAGGAAAGGAAGAAAGTTAGGAGGAAGAAAGGCAGGAGGAAGAACGGTAGAAGAAGGACGAGGTGAAGGACAAAACGGGAAGGAGAAGAAGAGGGAGGACGAGGAAGGAGGGTAATGAGCTCTGTAAAGGAGAAGCGAGAGAGCAGGAAGAAGAGAAACAAAGAGAGAGAGGAGAATGATAAGGGGGAGGATAAGAAATCCTTCTTAAGGAAGAAGAGGAAGAAGAGGAAGAAGGAAGAAAGAGGAGAAGGAAGTAGGAAGAAAGAGGAAGAGGAAGAGGAAGAGGAAGGAGGATAATAAAATTTCGTCCGTAAGGAGGGGAAGGAGGTATTCTCCTCCTTTTTCCTCTTCTTTCCCCCTTCTCTCTTCCCTCCTCTTCGTCCTCTTTTTCCTCATATTCCTTCTCTTCTTCCTCCTCCTCCTCCTCCTCCTCCTCTTCTTCCTCGTCTTCTTTCTCCTCCTCTTCTTCCTCCTCTTCGTTCTCCTCGTCGTCTTCCTCCCTCTCCTCTTCCTCCTTCTCCTCTTCCTCTTCCTTGCATGTGAAAATTAGGAAGAGGAAGAAGAAAGATGATGAGAAAGGAAAAGAGAGTGATGTTGTGGATTGGAGGAAGAGGAGCAAGATGTTGCTGGTCTATAAGGAGTTGCTTTCTCATTTTTATTGTCTTTGTTATGGTCTTCCTTCCTGTGTGGGGAGAGAAGAGGGGTCGTGGAGCTGTGATGCCTGCTGTTTGGCTGTGCAGGGTACGTGGCGCTTCTGGGGAAGCCCAATGTGGGGAAAAGTACTCTGATTAATCAGCTCATTGGCCAGAAGATCTGTATAGTCACTCACAAGCCACAAACCACGCGACATCGAATCCTCGGTATCATGTCAGACAGGGACTATCAGGTCAGGAGGGAGTTCTGCCACTCTCTCTCTCTCTCTCTGTCCCTCTTCGTTCTTTCTCTCTTTCTTTCTTTCTTGTCTTCCTCTCTTTCTCCTTTCTCTCTTCTTTCTTTCTCTCCTTTCTTTCCCCTTTTTTCTCCCCTTTTTTCTCCCTTTTTTCTCCCCTTTTTTCTCCCCTTTTTTCTCCCCTTTTTCTCCCTTTTTTTCTCCCCTTTTTCTTCCCTTTTTCTCCCCTCTCTCCTCTTTCCTGTCGCTCAGTTCTCTCACCCCTCTCTCTCTCCTCTCTCCCCCCTTTCTCTCCCCTTCCTCTCTCCTTTTTCTGCCATTTCCCCCCGCCTCCTTTCTCTCCTTTCTCTCTCGTTTCACTCCTTTCTGTCTCCTTTCTCTCTCCTTTCTCTCTCCTTTCTCTCTCCTTCCTCTGTCCATGTGCATTTCTGTCTCTCTCTCTGTGGATCTCTCTGTGTTTCTGCATGTCAGAGAAAGACTATTAGGTCAGGAGTTCTGTGTATTAGCCGCCAGCTGCAATGCAAGCACCATCCCTTGTCTGTCTCTCCTCCTCTCTTTCTTCGTCTTTCTCTCTCTTGTTTTTTTTCATAGTCCGGCTGCTGATATGATAACGAGTTGCTGCAAGTTTTTTCCCCGTGATTGGCAATTTGACCTGTGTCGTCGTTAAATGACTCCTTGCAAGTTATTTTTTGCCGTGATTGACAGCAATTGGACACGTGTGCTTGTTGCGCCCCCCTCCTAACCCACCCCCCCCCCCCCCCCCCCCCCCGTTTTTTTTTTTTGCAGGTCATCCTCTTTGATACGCCAGGCATCATTCCCAAACAGAGGCACAAACTGGATGAAGTAATGATGCGAAATTTACGATATGCAATGGCAAATGCGGATGCCATTCTAATGATTGTCGATGGGACCGAACCCTTGGAGCCTGTTCAGGCAGTGGTGGAGGAGGGCCAGGACCGTGCCTTGAGAAAGAGGCCCACATTACTCGCACTCAACAAAATAGACCTTCTCAAGCCTGCAGACGTGAGCTTAAGGTATAAGGTAAGCAGCAGCAGCAGCTTCAGCTCTCTTTTTCTTAATTTATCTCAATAAATTGTTAAAGAGATGTCATTCCTCCCCCTCCTCCCTTCCCAGCAGCAGCAGCAGCAGCAGCAGTAGCAGCTTCAGTTCTCTTTTTTTAATTTATCTCAATAAATTGTTAAAGAGATGTCATTCCTCCCCCTCCTCCCTTCCCACCTTTCCCCCCCGGTCAATGGTGTTTTGCGTTCTTCATGTCAAAAAAGGGGTCGTCGGGGTAAAGAGGGGCGGCAGGGGGAAAGTGGAAAATGGAGTCTGTCAAAAAAACATGATTGTGCTTGTCAGGGAATGTACGTGTTTGTGAGCTGTGTCTATGTTCATGCAGGTGCCATGACTGTTTGATTCTATGTGTAGACTAGTAGCGATTGGCCTCACTTTTCTTTTTCTTTCTGGACGACAAAAATAATCCAGCCAAAGCATGCATAGTTTGACCTGGTAGCCAAAAGCCTACGTGTCAAAAACAAATACAGGCCTGAAAGTTACATCTGGCAAATTCAGCCACTCACTTTCTGGAAATGATGCCTTTTTGCATACGCGTGTGGGCTTTAGACGAAAGCCTATGGATAAAAAAACAAATACAGAAGCGAATTCTCTGACTGTTACCTGATGGATGTGTACCACCTCCTCCCAATGCTAATGGATAGAGTGAATTGGACTCTCTGATTGACTGAGAACTGCATCTGCCTGCCATTGTGTTTCTGTCATCCGTAGTTTTTTCCCTCACATATGACCCCTCTCTGCGGCTAAAATCATCCGTATTCATCCCCTCTTCTCAACTTGACATTCAAAGTGCATTCCTTTTTTTTTTTTTTTATTTTTTATGCTTAAATATCGCTTTGCATCACCCACACGCTATTATTG